GCTTTCAAGAGGGAGCCTAGATCCAGAGGGTGCTGAGGAAGGTAGAATCTCCACTGAGTAGTATCCAATCTGTCTGGGTGGGGCTGATGAAAGGAGATACGATAGGTCTCTTGTGATACAATAGTGAATAATTGTTATCAGGACTGACTGTAAGGGTTGGAAATGTAAAGGTAGACGTTTTTTAGCAGAAGGAGGGGAGTGATTGACTTTGTAGTCTAGGAGCAGAGGTCCATGGGACCATCAAAGGAGAAGAATGGAGTGCATGACCCTACCCAAGAAGCAGTGATGCCCGAGATGGAGGCAAAGACGATTTTGTGGAGAGATGGAGTAGCTGGGGACTTTAGACCCAGAGAGGGAGAGGGGCTGTATGCTGACGACCAGGGGGCAGGCTTGTAGGGTATACCCTTTGGTTGGTTGATGATGCATGGAGGGGATTGTAACCATGAAAATAAAACGATATACAATAGGATGAATGTAAAGCTAATGTTCACAATAAAACATTAAAAAAAAGTTAGGGAACAAACTTAACATGAAAGACCCAAGTCCTATGTAAAGAAAACTTTAAAGTTTTATTGTGGGGGGTAAAGGAAAGCAGAATGAAGAGGTCTTATCTTAAAAATTGTAAAGGAATCATTTCCTCTTAAAGCAATTCCGGATGAACAAAAACCCAACGAGTTTATCTGAAGAAGCCCTGGTGGCACAGTGGTTAAGCACTTAGCTGAGCATGGAAAAGTTGGTGGTTCAGATCTACTAGTTACTCCATGTGTCATAAAGATGCTTTACTACAGTTCTACCCTGTCCCGTAGGGTTGCTGGCAGTGGGGTGGGTGGGATGTCTACACAAACTGAGCCTGTAGACATTCGTTGGAAAATAAACAAAACAAACTAATAAACAAACAAACAAAAAAGTACAGTATTTTATTCTATTTGCAATTATAATCTCAAAATTTTAATGACAAGATGCTTGGCTGTCTTTTGAATCTTGGTTCTCCTTGCATTATATTATAAAATAGTCACTAGAGGGGGAGAGAAAAAGGAATAGCGAAAAGCATCACCATAGAAAGCTTGTAAGTCCGTCTTCTGCCTATAACTGATTGGAACACCTAAAATGGGGCTATAACGTGTCCAGTGATGGAGGCTTCCTGCGGAGCCTCTGCAATACATAAGACTATAGGTAGAAGCCTGAACCACATCCAGGTCTCCAGAGATGGGA